GTTACAAATTGAACATAATTAAAGCATAGTGATTAATACAAAAACAATATGTAATTATATATGTGTTTTCCGATGGTCTTAGGTGACCCCTGTGAAAGGGTCATTCGACCCCCAAAGGGGTCGGGACCCACAGGTTGGCGACCCACAGGTTGAGAATTGCTGCTCTAGTGTCTAGGACAGTGATGGCGAACCTTTTGAGCTCGGCGTGTCAGCATTTTGAAAAAACCTAACTTAACCGGTGCCGTGTCACATATAGAAATTTTTTGATATTTGCAACCATAGTAAGACAAAGACTTATATTTTTGATATTTATTTTATATATTTATATGCCATTTAACAAAGAAAAATCAACCAAAAAAATGAGTGTCATAGGTTCGCCATCACTGGTCTCTGAGATCCGTCTGCCACCAGAACTACGATTTCCAGCATTCCTGGTGCTCCCTGTGCTCTGGGGTTCCACTTCCGGTTCTGGGGCTACCACCAGAACTACCATTCCCAGAATTCCTGGTGCTCCCCGCACTCTTGGTTTTCCCTTCCTGCTCTGTCTCCATCCCATGGCCTCCCACTCTGCCAAGTCCTCCAAGCTGCTGGCTCTCCCACTCTGCTCTCCACCCAGCACCTGTATATGCAAATTAACCCACCATCTTTGTCGGGTTAATTTGCGTACTCACTCCTGATTGGCTGGTGACCGGAGAGACGGTCAATTTACATGTTTCTCTTTTATTATATAGGATGGATATATATATATATATTGTTTTAATCTTTTTGCCTGGCTACCTGGATCAGCACAAATCCCTTACTAGTCAGATTGTGTGAAAGCCCTTTTGGTCCCATTAGGTTTTGGCCCCTCCACTGGATGTGCGTGGGGCCCGTAGGCTGCTATTACCTTTGGGAGTTTACATTTTTGACACCTACAGTCAGGGACTAGCAGCTTTGAGTTTCCCTCTGATCGGTCCTGAACCATCATGGCCTAGAGCCCCTTGGCCTGCAGACTGCCATGGATGCACTCCTGGGGGTGCTCCTGGTCCAGAGCAGGTGACGTTCAGCCAGTGCTAGCTCAGAGCTGTGCCTAAGCCCTTGCGCCCAGGGCCTTCCGCCCTGCATTGTGTTTGCTTGGGGCATGCTTTCCATCGTGCCCATCCAGAGGTGGTTGTGATGGGGAAGGGCTCGCAGTAGATTGCTACTGAGGGGGTGCAGCCTGGACCCCAGGGTTGACTCTGATCCCAGGAGGGCTCTTGGCTGTCTTTGTGGTGTTCTCTCTGTTACACTCTGCTTGCTCTGACGTGTAGCTGGTTGCTGCCAGTATTGTGGCACTATGAGCCGCACAGCCTGCACCGATCCCTAGTGTCCCACTGCTAGGGCACGGTGCTCTGAGTTGTTCTGAGTGGCTGTGAGTCCATGTATTCTTCTAAATTCTCCTATCCAACTATGCCAGGGCTGGTTCTTCTCAAACCCTGCCCACTATACTAAACGTTGGGAACTTAGTCCAAGTTCCTCCTTTATCCTCTGCTCACTAGTCACAGGTGTTGGGTCTGAGCCCCTCTGCCTGGGGCTGGACCTCCTAGAATGCCGGGTCGTAGATGGAGAAACCATGAGAGGTTGTGAGTATATAAGAATGAGTCTTTATTGCTGAAGCCAGTGGCCATATATCCACCAGACAAGAACAGTCCTCACGGCCCTACCCGTTTTGGCTCAGCGGATAGAGCGTCGGCCTGAGGACTGAGGGGTCCTGGGTTCGATTCTGGTCAAGGGCATGTACCTTGGTTGCGGGCACATCCCCAGTGGGGGGTGTGCAGGAGGCGGCTGGTCGATGTTTCTCTCTCATCAATGTTTCTAACTCTCTATCCCTCTCCCTTCCTCTCTGTAAAAAATCAATAAAATATTTAAAAAAAAAAAAAAAAAGAACAGTCCTCACTGCAAAGTCCATACAGGCATGCAGCCGGACACTGGCTGGTGAACATATATCTTTCCCATAAAGCAGCATCAGTCTCTGTACCCACAGCTATTATCTGAGCAGCCGCACGCTGCCTCCTAGACTCACTGTCTAACATCATAGCGGTACCTGAGCTCTCTGGCTCAGCAGCTTCTCCTGTCTCTTCTGCCCAGCTGCTCTCTAGCAGAATTCTTTACACACTCCATCCTAGCTGCTCTCTTCATACTCCAACAGACTTCTTCTCACTCCCGCCTCAGCCGACTAGACTGGTCAGTAACCTACTTTTATGCCATTTAGACAAAGAAGGCTTCATGCCAATAGTTACATCAATCATATTGGCTACTGAAGGGCACAGTGTACCATGTGTCCCTTACACCCATCATGGCATCTTGGTCTGATTAGGGATTCCCAGGCTCAGAGTCCTTGAACATTCTGTTTAGGCACATGCCCAGAGCGGCCTTTGGTTCATTCTGGTGTACTGATAACAAGGCTTCTGTGCTCCCACTGGCCTTGACTATCCGGGGACCTGGCATGGTTCTCATGTCCACAACACCCTTAGGCATGGACTTCTCATTCTGTCCTGATAGAGTCAGTCCCCTCCTTGGAGCCTGACCCTCTCGGTAGGACCTCTGTGCCCACACTAGAGAAGGGGGCAGGGACAATGCGGCTTCTCCCTGGTGACAGCCCCTCCACGAGTGCAGCTGGAGGGTGGCCCCTAATCTCCTTGGCTTGTAAGTAGCTCCACCCTGCAGAGCTGGGTCAGGACCCAGTATTCTAGATCAAGCATGTCAAACTTGTGGCCCATGGGCCGCATGTGGCCCACAACGAATATTTTTGCGGCCCAGCCAATATAATGGTATGTAAGAAACGTTTTAATAAAAATTTCATAACTTAATTTTTATAATATCCTGTTATACATAATTATTAATAACAAATTACAAAGTTCGGTAATGACTGATTACTATAAGCGTGTTGCATTCATTATGCGCCTTACGTGCAGGCGCACCATTTCTCTCCACTAATACTAGCAGCGAATATTTTAGCAGCCGATGGCCACGTTGTTAGTCTTGTACTGATGTGTTTGGTGTGTGCAACAGGAAATATTTCGCTTTCGGAGAACAAGAAAAATAGGTTTATTTGCATTACCCTTATTAATTTGTGCAGTTATGTAGTGTCTGGTAAGTTAATGTTCAAGGAAAAAATATTAATTTTTATTAAAATGTTCTATTTTATGTTAACGATTACTCGTTTATTTCAGCCCTTTGTATTCATCATGTCTCTATCGAAATAAATCTTTTATGAAAATTGAGGCTTTTGTTTTTTTTGCGGCCCACATAAACTTAAGCCTTGTTTATTTGGCCCGTGTTAGCCTTTGAGTTTGACATGTGTGTTCTAGACCTTCCCTGCTCTGCCAAGGGTGGAGTGTCTACCCAACAAGAGGGGTTGGGGGGCAGGGGAAGGAAGTCCTGGTTTTCTGCCCTCACCTTCTTGGAAGGTGGGGTGGGGTGGGGTGGGGAGAACTTGCTGGCAGCCTGCCTCCCCTCCCCTCTCCCCTGACCCCGGTGAAACCATAGTCATGGACTGGGAGCTGGGGGAAGAGATAAAGCTTCTTTGGTAGTTTCTGATATGCCGTAAAGTCTTTCTGTTCTTAATGAGACTTAAACTTTTCTCCAGTTGAATGGTTTTTGGGGAGATGGTCTGCCACACCCTCACTCTGCCCTGTGTTGGCCAGGTCAGCTGGGTTTCCCTCAGCAGATAAAATCCTGCCAGACTCAGACTGCAGCTGACATCATAAGGAAACAACCCACCAGAAGTGAGAGTCAGCAGACAGTGCAGGCATCAAAATCAGACTGCTGTGAAGTCAGACAACGGAATTGTTAGAGACTACAAGATAGGTGTGCCTGAAATATGAAAGGCATGAAGGAACCAAATAGGAGAAAAGAGAATAAGACTCGCAATAAAAGCAGTACATAGACCTTGTATTAATAAGGGGGGCAGGGGAAGGAAGTCCTGGTTTTCTGCCCTCACCTTCTTGGAAGATGGGGTGGGGTGGGGGGCAGGGGGGTATGGTCATTGAACTTTAACATGGAATAGACAAACAATTCTGATGTCTAGTCACATAATGACATGGTTATTTGTGGAAAACAGTTAATGTGTCATCAGTACCTTTTATATTAAGCTCCAAAATGTGAAGTTATGAGACATAAATTACCACTGCGGAAAATGTCCAAGTGACAGAGTAGAGAGAAGTTGAGCATCAGTGTGTACAGATTTATGTATGTGACCTGGGCTCCCCTTTGCTGGGAGGTGTCAGCTGATAGGGCCTTCCTCTCCTGCCCTGCGTCCCCCATGCTCCAGCACTGTTCCCCCGTTGGGTTCTCTGAGGTCTCTTGTTTACTGCTCCTGAGAAGTCCCGAAGAGCCAGCCAGAGCTTCTTTGTCAGGTGCTAGGTGGGCGCACTCAGCCCGACACCTTCTTGGCACTTAGACGAGTTTCTGCATCATCCCCGTTCTGTCCTTTGGTGTGTGACTCCCCGGGAGTGGATGCTGAGGTCCCTCCCGAGGCCCCTGTCCTGAAGATTGGCCCTGGAATGAGCCAGGTGGGCATGGGGAGTGGGTGCTGGGTGAGCACGGGGTGATGGGCAGAGTGACGTGGAGGGTTTTAAAACTTTGATGTAGGGATGAATGCAGGTCAGAAACAGACCTAGGAGAGACAGTGTGAGGTGCAGGAAGGGATGTGACACAGGAGAGGGCTGTACAAGTAAGAAGGTGTGAGGTTTGGAAGGAGATCCTGAATCTGGTCCCAGATGGTTCTTCAACCAGGAGCACGGCCCACCTGGTGATGTGAGGCGGGCAGGGAGGTGCTGCCGTAGCGCTCTGGAGTCTGAGGGTCCTGGGGCCTCCTCGCTGGGGAGCGAGGCTGGTTTCTCCAGGTCCTCCTCCGTGGTAGCCAGTCTTGTGCATCTGGAGGCTCTCACCCAGGGGTCTCCCTGCCGTGTGACGGGCCTTGCATTTCACCACAAAGCCATGGCGCAAGTCTTACCTGGTCTTCTTTCTTTCCTTCTTAGGAGTGGGCTTTTGTGAACACGGACATCTTTGCCAGGACCAAGATAGACCCCAGTGCCTTGGTGCAGAAGCTGGACTTGGACACAAGGAGTGTTGCTTCCGTCAGGAGAGGTGAGAGACCTTAGGGTTTGCATGCTTCAGTGCCTGGCTGGCTTTGAGTTGTTCAGATGCGTAGGCAAGAGCAAATTTCAGTTAACTACTTTTTGTTGTTCTTTTTTTAATCCTCACTTGATTTTTTTCCATTGATTTTTAGGGAGAGTGGAAGAGAGAGGGAAAGACAGAAACATCGATGTGAGAGAAACACATCGATTGGTTGCCTCCTGCATGAGCCTGACCAGGGCCTGGGTCAGGGAGGAGCCTGCAACCAAGGAATCGAACCTGGGACCCTTGACAGGAATCGAACCTGGGACCCTTTGGTCCGCAGGCCAACGCTCTATCCACTGAGCCAAACTGGCTAGGGCTAACTATATTTTAAAAAGGTTTTTACTAATGGAAAAATTTAAAATATACTATAATAGAAAGAATGGTATAAAGAAATTCCCTGTGCCCAGCACCCATCTTCAACACACACATACTGCATTATTTTGAAGCAGATTCCCTCATAAATTCTTTAGTATCTATTCCTAAGGGCTCTTTCTTAAATAGCATACCTACAATGCTGTTATCACATCTAAACAGATTAGCAGTAATTTCTTATCAAATATACACGCAGTGCTCACACCTTTTTGATCGCTTCATCAAGTTGTTTGTAAGAATCAGGGTGCAAACAAGTGCCCCCTCCCAACCTTTTCCCTCCTGTTTTTATGATGTGGGGAGGGCATTTTTCTGGCTGCACTTCCCCCATTTTGGATTTTGCTGGTTGCCTTCCCCTGGTGTCTTTACCATGTTTCTCTGACCCAGCCCAGTTCTTGGCCAGAGCTTTTTGGCTGAGCTTCCCTGGAAGAGGAGAGCAGCTCTGCTCCCCGTCACACTGCCCTGGAGGTGGAGTGAGCTCCCAAGGCCTGGTGGGTGCACCACCACCGTGCCTGGAGAGAAACCTTACTGCTGCGTAGGTGTGAGCTGCACAGATGCAGCCGAGCATGTGAAATAAGAGAGGCGAGTAACCTTGTTAAGAGCACTCAGGCCTCCGGGGCAGGGCTGTTTGCGTCAGTCACTGTAATCCTACTGTACTTTACCTGCACAGCGATTTCCATTGGTTTAATTGACTGTACGTTCTCATCTTTAAAGTTGTAAGTAGCTGTCCTTTTTGTCTTACTGCTTTAACAGTCTCTGTGTTCCTGGGGCTCTCTAGTGAACTGATGTATGGATTTTTCTTAATTATTTCTTGTTCGAGGATTCAGCAGCATCCAGGTTTTTAGTATTATTTCCCAGGTTTCCGTCTGTCGTTTGCAAACAGCTCAGAGTTGTAAGATGTGATTATTTCACAGGTATGACATATCAAGCATCTTCTGTGGGGTTATGTTGTTTGCATCATTGCTCTGGATTTTTTCATGTCACTGGGGAGATACACGTGCTTCTCCTTGCCATTGTTTGTGCATTGAAACTGCAGGGAGCAGACACTTTCCCTCTCCCCTCCTAGGGATCCTGCAAATTAGATTCACTAAGGACAGATGAAGGGAAAGCAGTTTATTAATGCGTGCAGTGCACTTCACCCAGGAGAAACGGGTGTGATGAGAAACTCAAAGGGGTGGTGAGAACTTGGCTTCTATAGCATCTTAGCAACAAACAGTATGTTTATAGCCTTGCAGGCCACAAACCGTGGGAAGGTAAATCATGGGGGAATGAATGAGGAAGGTGTTTGTGAGGCTCCATCTAGGCTGTGACCTTCCCTCACCTTCACAATCGCAGAGTTTCCTCTGAGAGGGGATTCCTAGCAGTCCTTGTTTTTCAGAAGTTTCTTTTTTAAAAAAATAATTATTTATTGTTGAAAGTATTACATACGTCCCTTTTTTCCCCGCATTGACCCTCTCCAGCCCGACCCTGCCCCCTTGTTCAGAAATTTCTTTGGTGACCAATTCGATCAAGGGTTTTGTATGTTCACCAATTCTCTTAAGGCTCGTGTATATATTTGGGGCAGTTCTGATCACCTTTCTTAACCTTGGATGAGTGCTTTACCTGTTATAGAGGTTAGCTGTTTGTCATTTCATACAAAAAACTCTTTAGGATTTTAAAAATTGCTGAGGAAGTTATTTCCCTAGAGAGCTGACAGTGCTGTTTCCTGACAGTTCCCTGTGGCGGCTATTCTCGCCCCCCCTGCCTGTCACCTCTGCGACCTTTCTCTCCTTGGTTGTGGGGCCAAGTTTGCTTTCTGTCCATAGAACGGGCTCTGCCTTCTTGGTCCAGGTTGGCATGCTGCCCTGGCTGTTGGTGGTGCATACACTCTGAAGGAGAAGCCATCTGTGCTACAGCCGGTATCCCCGAGCAGTTTGGAGGGAGTGGAGGGGACAAAGCATTAGCTTGCAGTCAAAGGAGCCAAGCTGGGGTCCCGGTGCTCTGCTTTGTTGGCCGTTGGATTTGGGGGCATCTGTGTGGCTTCCCAGGACCGTTAATTCCTCATGCATCAAATGAGCGTGGCATCTGCTGGGCAGTGTGCTTCGTGGGCCTGCCTGGAAGTCCTACTGGCCTTCAGTCATGCCCACTACTGGTGGTAGCTGGGGGTCATCTCCAGGGAGAGCTGGGCTGGTGGTGGCTGGGGTCATCCCAGCGGTACTCCCATGTCAGTGAGGGGCTGGCCCACTCTGTCCCCTTTCACAGACAAGGATGCAGTGCAGGAGGAGGCCAAGTCCCATCGTAGGTGCCGGCCCCTCCCTTTGCTGAGCTCAGAGCTTTGAAGCCCATCTGGGAATGGGGGTCCTGATGGCCCTCCCTCCAGCACTGCTGGATGGTTCTCTGTGAGACATTGTCACAGCTGTTCCAGCTCCCGATGGAGCCCCCAAGGAGTCAAGATGCCCCAGGTTCCTGGTGGCAGGTGACTGACTGTCTCAGCCTCTCCCCCACCCGAGCCTCCCTCTTCAGCATCTCTTCCGATTTAGGTTGTTCCTCAGCCTTGCTCCTCCTGATTGGCCAGTGCCTGATCCTACGGGGGAACAGTGGGTCTTGTAGTCTCCAGGCCTGAGCTGGGCTGATGGCCTGGGCAGGTGCAGGTCATGTGGAAAGGGGTATCGATGACTCATACCCTGGCTGCTCAGTGGCCTGCTGGGCTGTGAATGTGAGGGCACCTGTCTGCCTGGATTGGCTCAGAGGCGTCCTTCCTTTGCATCTTTCCCTGGGCTGAGTCACAAATAGAACTATGCCTGTGTCTCGGCTGCTGTACAAGGCCACTGCCTTGTAGCCGGTATGGACTGGAAGAGGCTGAGCCCACTCACGTGAGCCTGGCCTGGTTGTGGGTCCATCACCCTGATGGGTGAATGTCCCTTGTGCGGCTCCCATGTGCTTGTGTGTGTTCCTCTCCTTCAGGCAGATGTGCTCACACACTCCCTGCAGCCTTAGGACCCGGTGGACCTGCTTTGCTGGTGGCATTGTGCCAGGGTTTCTGCACAGAGCCTTGCGGCCTTTGGAGCCCAGTCTGCCCCCGGTTTCCCTTCTATCCCCCTTGCAGGCAGGGGCTCCATACTTCCTGTGGGGGAACCACTAAGCTAGAGGCTGTCCCCCACCGAGCTCCCCCTGCAGATGACCCCGTCCACCACCACCCAGCTCCCCCTGCAGATGACCCCATCCACCACCACCCAGCTCCCCCTGCAGATGACCCCATCCACCACCACCCAGCTCCCCCTGCAGATGACCCCATCTACCACCACCCAGCTCCCCCTGCAGATGACCCCAGCCACCACCAGCCCAGCTCCCCCTCCCCCCCACCAGCCAGCTTGGCTTTGCCCTGAGAGTCAGGGTCCCGGGGCTCATGGACCTGTATTGTGAAGCAGCTTCCTCGCGCCTCTATGTCCTCTCCTATGTGGGGACGTGTGGCTGTGCGTTCCTCCCCCACACAGGTTGCTGCTCTGCCCATCTACTTCTAGTCCTATATTCCTTTATGCTGTAAGGTTGCAGAGAATAAGCCCATTCTGTTCTCAGATGAGCACCTGGGGTATTAGGCCAGCACTCCATCCTGTGGCCTCAACTGGGCATCACTAGTCCCAGACTTACGCCCAGAGAGGTGGGCAGGGTGGGGTGGGACTGGAGGAGGACAGGCCTGGTTAGGGAGGCAGGAGCAGAAGTATGGGAGGAGAGCCTCAGCATTGCCGCCATGCTGGGTGGGCAGTACGCTGGAGGGTCAGCACGCTGGACAACTTGGAGGCCACCAGGGGGCGGCAGTGGAAGCATGTCTGCTGGGCTCTGGCGGGAGAGCTCGGGGAAGTGGCAGTGGTGAGTGGCAGTGGTGCTGGACAAGGACAAGTGGTGAGGGACCTTGTTGCAGGGACACCTGGAGTGCGTGCACCCGCCTTCTCTGTCTCCAGGACCACTGCTGAGACCCCTGTGTCCCCCTAGCGGAGAGAGCGCTGGGCCTCACGGCCATGCAGACCGCAGTGCTGCGCATGCATTTTCCCTGTGCACACGCGGGAGCTTCCCGCTGTGCCTGACCCACCTCAGGGGTTCCCTCTGAAACCGAGTCCGAAGCAGGAGCAGGCCCAGGACTGCTCGGCAGAGGGCGGCAAAGCTGCATCCTCTGTACAGCCGAGCCCAGGTTGGAGAGGCTGGCCCTGCTCTGAGAGGAGCTGGGGAAGGCCGGGCTCCAGCACACGGGGAACCCTCAGGCTTTCCAGGGGTTGTTCAGGAGTTTTCCACCTTTCCTCCAGCCTTGCAGTCAGGGTAGTACAGACCCTTAGACTGCTTCCCTTCCTCGCCTCCACCCCCCCACCCCCCACCCCCAGCTGTAAAAGGGGAACCAACAAAGAGGGGCTGGGAGGGGGAATGACTGCCTCAGAGTTGTTTGTAGCTGTGTGTGGGTCTCCTGAGGACGGGATGGGCATCCTGTGTGTGGGTCCCCCGAGGACAGGGGATGGGCGTCGAGTGGGTGGCATTTACTGCATTTGGGAGCCTGTTTCTGCCATGTTTGTGCTGCTAGCCGTCGGAGAGGGCTACATCCTCTGTGGTTGCAGCTGCTGGCTGTGAGCTCT